GAAGGGGGGGGGGGAGAGAGAGGGCCTCATTCTGTCTGTGTGGTGTGTGTGGTCCTGTGTGTAGGCGTATGTGTCGGCTCCCCGTGTGTTGGCGCAGCTCAAGATGGCCGGCCGCCACGTCCACTTCAGTGACGGCAGCTGTCTGCAGCTGTTCCATCACGGCAACGGTGAGGTGCGGGCTATCATCGACGAGCCCGGCTTCGAGCTGGAGGTCGACCCGCCCCTCCTCGCCGGCCACCTGTACCAGCAGCACAGACAGCCACACGACCCACCGGTGCGCAGCCGCATCTACTCGCCCGACGACGGCGGATGGGTGTGGAGCGGTGGCCCGGGGAGCACCGATGCGTCAGTGTCGTCTTTTGCCAAGTGCATGATCCTCCGCCACCTGAGGCCCACTCACCAGACCAACAGCAAATTGACTCTACTCTACAGGTAGCACACTAACGGAATCAATGGGGTCGGAAGGGGCACAGCACAAGTCGTTTGTTGATGTCTGTCTTTTCAGGGGTGTCGGTGGCGGCCGTCTGCATGGCTTGTTGACCCAGTCGCCCCACACACCAGTGGCTGGCTGTACGACCACAGTGAGCTGGGACGGTCGTGTGCGACGACTGATACTGACCGACGGCAGCCACCCCTTCGTCGCATGGGTCGATATCAGCAGATTAGGACATCAAAACGGTCAGGGCGAATGACATAGAGGGAGTGCTGATTGCTGGAACGTCGCATGTTCTTCCCCTCGTGTGCAGCGGTTGTGCAAGTCGTGACGACTAAGGCGGCTCTGTGTGAGGATGGTTTGTTCAAACACTGCTTCCCCGTCACCACTCAGCTGGCTCGCGTGGCGTTGGGGGCAGTGGCGGCATTCGTAATCGACGGACAAGTTCAACAGCAGCAATAGCAACAACTTCAACAACAGGCTGAGCAACAACAACAGCAGCAATAGCAGCAACAGCAACAGGGGGATGACAATGGTACGGACGAAGGGAGGGACGCATTCAAACATTCATCGGATGGATGGATGGTGGAAGATGTCCCTTCTCTCTTTCTGTCTGTCTGGGTGTGTGGCATAGATTCGGACGATGGCAGCGGAGATGAGGGCGACGGTGTGGAGGACGGTAGCGGAGAGGGCAGTGGAGGTATGTGGAGGTATACAGCCACACACCACAAATGCCCCCACGTCGACCTGCGTCACATTCATTCATTCATGTGTGTGTGTGCGTGCCTTGGGCAGGTGAGAGTGGCGCAGCTGAGGCGGAGGGCGGCGGCTGACCGATCCACCAGCCAACACGCACTGGTGGGTGCGCAGCGATTCATCCCCTCTGTCACCATGTGGCTGAGTGCCGCCCTCCCTCGGTGTGTGTGTCTGTGGTCAGGAGGGCATCTGAAGTTGGGTGCTGGCTGTCGCCATTTATCTCTGTCGCCGATCGGTTAATTCTTCAGGACACATCGCCCACCGCTCACTGTGTGGACCAGCTGCTGCTGCTGTGTGACCGAATGGCTGGCTTGGCTCTGGTGGGTGTGGGTATGGGTGTGAGTGCATCTGGTGCGGTTCGGTCCGCTACCGGCCGATTTTGATGTGATGCCCCAGCCGATGTGTGAGTGTGTTTGGCTGTCTGGCTGACTCACCTGCCATCTCTCTCTCTCTCTCAAGGTGACTGTGTGGTGAAGTGTGTCCGCCTTTGTGTGCCGCGGGTGACGGCCGTGAAGGGAACCCATCCCATGGATTAAGCATGTAGCTGAGTCAGTCACTCTCTGTGTGAGGTGGCCGTCGAGCGAATGACAGTCATCACACCAACACACGATGCACATTAAAGGGAAGCAAACATCCGCCCCTCTCTCTTGTTCACATCCATGTGAAAATCCGTTTGGCACCCACTCACTAACCTACACAATCGACATGCAGAAAAGTCGTGGGAGAAGACAGTGCACACATCGATTCACTCACGTGTGTCAGAGGGAGGGAGGGAGGGAGGGACCAATGGACGTTGTTTTGGTTCTTTTGGTCATGTTTGTTTCGCATGCCATACGGATGAGATCGTGCGGTGATGAGATGGCCTTTGTGTGTCTCAGTCGTGGCTTACACGCCTGCGCGCTGCCTGCGTCGAGAGGGACATGTGTGTGAATGTGTGTGTGTGTGTGTGTGTGTGTGTGGTGATGGCAAGGACGCGCCATGTTCAATCTTGTCTTGATCTTGTCCTCTGCGCGCAGTTGGCTACAGTCGACAAACCAAACCTCCCCACATCCCTACCAGTCGCAGTCAGAGGTCCTGATAGAGGTCAAACTGTGACCGGATGACCTGCTTGGCGCTGTCAATACCCGCCTGCACTCACACCACACACAGCAGACAATGATTGGAATACATGCCATGCCATCCCACCACCATTCATCCATCCACCTTTCTCACCTTTGGTTTAGCTTTCGGCTTCGTCTTGGCTTTGCCTTTGGCCCTCCCTCCACCCGTCACCCTCCCCGCTGTCTCCTCGTGTTCGCCTGTGGGCTCCCTACCCGCAGCGACGGCGATGGCCGCCTTCAGCGGAGACACAGCACCACTTGTCGCTGGGGCAGCTGCAGGTGACGCCTTCGGCTTTGTCGGTGGTGGTTGCCTCGATGTGACGTCACTGAGGGTCATATTCTCTGCTGACGATTCGACGCACAGCTCGAAAGAGCCCTCCTGAAGACGTACGTGGATGTCTTAGGTTCTGCGTCCATTGAGGCGTGGTCTGCTGTCCCACCGACTGACTCACTTTGGCCGACTGGTGTGTGAAAGGCACCAAGAAGAACTCGAACGGGCTGGGCGTCTCTACTTGCTTTGCTTTCAGCACCATTGACTGGGACCACTGACTGCATTTGATAGATGCACACATGCATCGGTCACACCACCAGCAGTGATATATATCTTTTCCGCGGGCTGGTTCGCTTACGATGCTGCGACGGGTATGGGTATCGGCGACTGGGCGAGACACCCTTCAGCAGCGGCATTTGACGAATTGTCAAACTGCAGCCATACGTGGGGAGAATAGAGACATTCACGAGCTTACATGTCATCTGCTCACTCACCTGTTTGGCAGGGACATTGAGGACGACCACGGCAGCGGGGGGAAACCTATTCGATGCTGCACCGCCTTGTGATGATGGAGTGTGTGTGAGGACGATCGTCAGCGGCGTCTCGCTTGCTGAAGTCGTGAGAGAGAAACACGGATTCCTTCTGCTTGCCATGGCACACACACATCAGATCACACACACTGGGAGTGCGTGTCTGTGGCCTTTCACTTATGTGTTTGTGCGGTTACAGACGTGAACGTGTTGAGCTGCGGCCGTCCTCCCGCCGTCGGACCCTTCCACTGCCCCTTCACCGACACACAGCTGCGGACGCCCTGCAGACAGACAGACAGACAGACTCTCTCGTCGGTGCCACCCATCAGTTTGCCGACCGACCTGTGTCACACAAGGGAAGTTGATGCAGGCCACATTCAGAAGCTCTCTGCCACCCCGCCACTGCAGGAGCAGCGTGAAGTCGCCCTCCTGGTTTGGGAAGTAAGAGCTCGGCACCAGCCGGTACTCCGGAGACGTGTTTTCGGCGACGGGTATGTTGTCTGAGGGTTCTTTCTGCAGCAGAGCGGGCGGCAGCAGCGACACAGCTGCACCCACATCTCGCTTATTCCTGAAAGAGAAGAAGCAAGGAGACGTACACGTGGCCATGTCGACGAAATTCTCCCGTTTTTCCGACCGACCAGAAAGAGGTTCTATGGACGATCTGTGCCCTGTCTGAGAAAGACCGAGACAAATGATGCAATTCCCGCGTCTCTATCGACGCGTGTCTCTTGTGCAGCGCACCAGGTGTGAGAGCGGCGGCATCGGTCGGGATGGCCTCAATGGGTTGGAAGTGCTGTCTGATCAGGGTGAGGCCGATCTGGGGATAGCTCAGCTGCAGACCGGCCTCACGGACACGTCGTCGCTCGTCCGGCTGTGTGAGCAAGATGTGGACGTCCAGTGGCTTGGTGAGCGTCTCAGAGACCTCCAATCGCAGCATTGGGTTGTGGCGAAAGGATGGGTAGTTGCTGCGCGAACGCACCGGTGGCCACACAGGGAGGCATATAAGAAACATCGTGTGCATCTATCTGTGTCTCTGTCTGTCATACGTGCATCCGCCGGCTGTTTTGCCCTTCCATGCGCCTCGGATGACCAGCGACTGGACAGGTGGCTCCTGCGAGTCGTCGAGAAACGTCGTGTGACACGCGTGTATGCGGTTGAAGTGCCTGGGGGTGGAACGATCCACGGATACTGACATATATGAGAGGCACCGTTGTGGTGTGGGGTGTACTCACCGCATGAACTCTTCGATCGACAGCCAGAAGTCGCCCCTCTTGCCTTCGTCTTCCTTGGCATAATTCAAGGCGCTCCGTCGCTCCTGCACAGCAACACAAGATGCCTTTCGGCCGCCCAAAGGCACTCACTGGTGCGCTGAAGGACGCCTTACTTTGTTCCAGAGCTTGCTGTTCTGCCCCCATTCGCCCGTCCACGCGCCGCAATGGGATTCCCAGGGGTTGCGAACCCTATTCGATGGACAAGAGTCCAGACGAACGGACGGATGGCCATGCAGACCCTAACATAGACGCAGAAGCGCACCTGACGAGCCTGTGTTTCTTCTTGTCTGTCTGGAGAATCCTCACGTCCAGCACACCGTACGCATGATTGACCACAATGCCTACCGGTGCCAGGGATGGGAACTGTGGCGTCTGCCAGTGTGCTGTTTGTCAGAGGTGGCATACCGGCGTCGTTTCTTTCAAACCGCTGTGGGCCGCTCCTGTGGTTTTTGTCATCTTCACCCTCAAAGCGACCACAGCTGACGAGAGCGCCTTTCTGCTGATACTCCTGAACCAACGCATACACAGAAGTCCCCCGATGACTGCCTGCACTGCAGCCAGGATGGCGCCTTTGTGTGACTGTCTCACTTGGAGAAGTTTGAATGCGGCGGCCTGTGGGTCTTTATCTGAGGGGGTAGTGAGCAGCCTTAGGAACAAGGGGAAGCCACTTACATCTGTGTCACGTGTGTGTTGTGCTCGTGGAGTGTGACCTTTCCAGGTTGACGTCATCGACCATTCCACCTGTCAGATCGAACAGAGCTTCACCCATGTTGCCTGAATGTCAGGAGACAGCGAGGCGCTGAGTGGCAATCATTGCCATATCGGAACAATACCCACCGCCTTCAATGGCAGAGTATGACCCCCATGCCTTTGCATATGCCTGAGCAACCACACACACGCATGCGCAGAAAAGGGGAATAAGTGGACTTCAGGACAGCTGCTGACCTTTTCTATGAGAGCGACATAGAAGTCATGGCCCTTCCTGGAGTGCGCAAAGGCGAGTGTGGGAGTGCCCCGACCAGACACACGACACGGCAACCTGTCATCAATCTCAATCTTGCGCCACTCTGTGTCAATGGCCAATGAACGGAAAGACATATGTACGCAGCCCGGCAGCAGACCTTCATCCCGTCGCCCTTACCACAGTCCATGAACAGCCGCATCACGAATCTTCCGGCGGCTTCATTGTATTCGACAATCAGCCGCCGCAGCAGCCTCGGGACCTGCGTCAGCAAAGAGAGCGCGGCCACAAAGTAGCAGCTGAAGGAAGAGCGGACAGAAAGGTGCAAGGGGCGGTACGCAGTGCCCGGCAGTCACATGTCTGTCTGTCTGTCTGTCTGTCTGTGTGTCTGTCTGTGAGTGCTGTACTTGTGGAGAGTTCCCTGGGTCACATCCTCGGCCTGCATTTCGTCATCAGCAGGGAACAGCACAGCGCTCGGATCTATCTCCTTTGGGCGAAGCCACGTGATGTCGGTGAACCGCCCATCTCCCCCGAGAGCCGAAGTGTTTGCAGGAAAGGCAGCGTCCTCAAACATTGTCCTGCGGAACCAGAGGGAGGGAGGGAGGAACGCTCAAGTTTTTTTCTGGCCCCCAGCCTGCCCCCCGTCTCTCTCCAGAGCGTCACTCCATCTCTCTCCGCGTCACTCCCTAACGTAGACACATCTTTAGTTGTTGACGTACGTGTTGCTGGGAGTCTATCGCAACGCCCTGGTGCGATTTCAATGGACGACGAAAACGAGCACTTCGCCAAGGACCCACACACCACCAAATCAGGCAAGCCGACAGTTGTCCATGGAACGAAACGCCCTGAGCAGCTGATCTGTCGCGCGTGGAGTTGTCCCCGTGGCCTTTTTGCCCTCCATCTGTCCATCAGATGGTTCGTCCACCGATGCGGTGAGATCCTCGTGCGCCTCGGAGCCCCACCTGTGGGTGGCGCCTGACCAGGAGACCCCTTCACGACCCAAACCAAACGTCATCAACCGCACGTAAGTAGGAGAGAAATAATAAAGGATGAAATGGCCAAGGATGGGAACCCTTCTCTCTCTCTCTCACAGGTCTGCCGGCGCTGAGGACACCACAGCGTTCAGCGAGCGGCTGTTCCGCGAGTCGCCGGGCAGCCGGCTGACCAACAGCCCACAGCGATACAACAACGATCCATCATCGCACACCAACGGCACCGTGCGGCTGATCCCCTCCAGCAGCAGGGGTGGGGGCTGGCGGCAGCTGGGGGAGGAGGAGCTCTTCCAGTGGGCCATCGACGAGAAGAAGGGAAGGAGCCTCCTGCAGACTGTGGTACGCACAACCGGATTGCTGGCTCCATGGGCCAAAGGGCAAGGGACGGATGTATGTGTGTTGTGGTGTGGGGGCTGGTGTGTGGTGGTGTGGTTGGTTGGCTCTTACATACAGAGGGACAATCCGCAGGTTTGCTACGATTTCTTTGAAAAGCTGCTGCCAAAGGCTAACGACCTGGCCCTTCACCCACAGTAATCCCCCCCCCC